TAACTTACTTCAAGAGTATTGTCTTTCATGTTCCAGAAAATATATTCTACATTTCTTTGGGATACTAATTAGGAACTGTTAATTTTCAAATAACCATAAACTGTTTTCATCATGAGCTGGCCTGTTCACTGTTAGTGCATATGTCAGAGCATTTGAAAATTTGGCATCTTGAAAAATATTTGTAAGTGCTGTAATTGTGACTTGCTGATGGAAAAGTGAATCATCTATTTCACTTGCAAATTTAAGAAATCTCATTGCCATTCAAAGATATTTAAGCGTGGTTAAATTAGTTAAAGTGCTTATTCAGAAAATGAAATTATATTTAATCCATCTACATATATTACGGTGCTCATATAGTGATTGAATTCATAGTGGTTAACTCAGGGATTAGTTCCCAATGTTTATGAATATTCATGAATGACATGAATAGGCTGTTTTGGAGTTGTTGACCACTGTTATGGCTTCTCTAGTAAATCAGTAGTGTTCAGGGGGGATGACAAAAGAAGTTCAGCATTTGATTTAAGGAGTTATGGAGCAATACTTAGGATTGAAATGGGTTTATGCCTTGACTAATAAATCCATAGTAGGCAAGGGAATGATAAAAGAAACCCAAGGTTTGATTTTAGAAGTTATGTAGTAATACCTAGTTTTGAAATGTTTTGGTTAATGAGTAAACATATATATGTAAGGAGGAATACCAAACAGCACTCATCATTTGCTTTTCATTGGAAGTGTGGTCATCTTCTTGATTTTCCCACAGAAATCAAGTACTGTTAATTTACTATGAGTGTTTCTTTCCTTAGCTAAACCCAAATATTCTTCTTGGTAGGACTGATTTGTGTATGGTGACTTTTTGTATTTCACGGTTTCACCAGCTTCTTCTTTCTCAAACAGACAGATGGATGTCTTTAAACTGTCTGAGCATGCAGATACTGGTATTCCAAATATAATGGGTAAAGTATAAAGAATGGTTATTTGAATTTTTGTTGCTAAGCTGGAACTGCAGGAAAGCCAGTCCCTGACACCAGGGAGAGAAATCTGATCAGATTACCAGCAACAGAATAGCTGCATGTATAATGGGTAAGGATTAGCTGACAATTGCAGTGGAACTGGAAGACCAACTTAAGTGAGCAAAGTGGATTCCAGTAAATAGGGTGGCATTTAAACTCAGTAAAGTATCTTAATTGTAAATTAAAGCTGGATGTGCAAAAGTGCAAACATGAGAGGTCTGAAAGGAAATGTGAGGAAACTGTAGCACCTGACAGCAGGCTAGTTTCTTTATATAAGGAATATCCCATGTGCACAGTGGAATGTCAAATCAGAGGGATCTGTAACATCAGGATGTAAACTGTACAGAAAGGAGAGTTTCAGCTGGGGATAGGCATGACTATGTATCAAAAAATAGACTCTAATAATGTAATATCTCAGTGTGGAAGTTATAAAAAGAAATCTAAAATTATTATTTTAGGACTACACTTGTCCATAACATGCAAATATCATCAACTGTGTGATATTCTAGAAAGCAGCTGACTGAGAAGCAGTAATGATGGGTGACTTCATCTTGTCTGTAGGCAGGTGGTGTCTGTTACCAAATTTCCCAAACGGTTTCAATACTGTGGAAGCTGTTGTGCAGACCTTTTGTGGGAAGGTTGTCACCTCTTCTTCATTTTGATCCCCATTTGTAGTGCTGTACCTTCTCTGTTTGCCCTTTGATAAGTAGAATTGAAGACATCATTGATTAGACAGGCACTCCTTTAATTTTATCCTTTATGACCAGTTTCAGATGCAGCTACAGGCCCAGTGAGAGGTGATGCATTTTTACAGCACTGCACTTGGTCCTTGTTCTGAGGAGTTACCAGGGTGAAGAGGTAGCCCTGCAAGTGTCAGTGTGGATAGAAATACAGTACACAGTTATGGGTGATGTTACAACTCTCCATATTGGCAACTCAGAAATAATAAACGAAATTATAATTAACTGCGATTAACTGAACAACTGCCTGTGTACAATGAACTTTATGTTTAATTATAAACTTCAAATTTTGATCATATATTCCTAGATCACACCTTTTCTGTGGTATGTTACCAGACTTGTTTATTAATGACCTTAAAAGAGTTATATTTCTTGTACTTCCTTATCAGTAAGCAAATGTACCTAGTCAATAATTCATGTTGCAGTTTACTCAATAAATTGAGAAATGCTGTCTTTTCAGAACTGCATCTGATCCAGTAAACCAAATTATATAATAATAAAGTATGTCATCGATGTAAACAAATACCAGATGGGTTGTAAAACATTTAATTTTAGATCAGTGCAAATAGACTGCGATAAACACTGCTGTGGCGTATTGTCAGTCACTAGTAAAGCTCGAAAAGGGATTCCCACTGTGGGTCCCTATTCTGAAGGATTCCACCTTCATGTTTGTTATTCTCTTGCTGTAAGTGTTTAACACTTGCTCTCTTTAGCCCCATTTGCTCCCTGTTAGCACGCTTTCAGACCCGGCGTCTGGCATGGGGCGTTTCAAAGTGTGACAATACAAGCCAGCAAAGTTTTGCTGATGAAAATAGATGATCCCAGAGAAGGTACTCGGAGAGAAGGTCTGTGAGCCTGCTGAGGCATGGGCACTGTGGAGGCTGGGCTGCTGCTTTGTGTAATTTGGGAAGTGGGCTTATCTCTTTTTTTTATTTTCTCACCCTGAAGGGGTGGATGCTGTTACCTGTGCTAGAACCAGCTTCCTTCATGATGGATGTACATAGTTTTTTACTCCTAAGATGCAAATGCATTCACTGCAAGAGTCTTTCAGTTGTGGTTGGTTCAAGATGAAGTTTCAAGAGTGTTTGCCTTATTGAATTGCAAGGCTATGGTTTTTTTTTTCTACACAGTTAAAATCCAAAGGCTGTTGTTCTGTATTTAAGATATCTGCTAGCACTGCTATAATAAAGTTTTCTAATTGTGTGTTCAGTGACATTTTATCTTATCTCTAGGGACATGGTTTAGTGGTGGATTAGCAGTGTGAGGTTTGTGGTTGGGCTCTATGTTCTTAAAGGTTATTTCCAACCTAAACAGCTCTATGATCTGCGTATGTGTCTGTATTCTGTATTAATTTATAATAATAAATAAATTTAAATTTAAATTTTGAAGTGTATTTGCTAAAATATCATCAAAAGCTTTGCAGAAAGCATGAAGTCTAGTTATGTTCTTCATATTAAATGCACTAAAATCAAACCTTACCTAAATACAGAAACACTACACACCAGTGACATGCAGATATACTTAATCTCGAATGCATGACAGAAACTTTCTTTCTAGATGAAAATGTCTTCCAACTGTGGATATGAATTAGAATTATGTAGCAGAAAACTAATACCTTATTTACAAAAAGTGTATTTTCTTGATTTCTTCTTCTGGGAATTAACTTAAATAAGAAAAACACCTGTCATCTTGTCTGACAGCTGATGACAGCATCAAAATCACTGAGTGACTAAGATGACAAGCTATTCCTACACATCAGCACATCAGGCTTTTATTGCTCTCTTGGGTATACAAGAAGCTTGCATTAAGTGGTGTTTAACAAGGACTCATTCTGTTTGTCAGTTCTGTGACACAGTTTATATGAAGGAAGGGGTAATGGCCCCATGTCAGCTGAAGATGAGAAGATTGCATAGATATTGTCTGTCTGCATAGAATGAAGCTTGTCTGTGGAGATGCAAACAAATCAAAGGGCATGTTTTTTCATCACACTTCCAGATGGGGATTAGGCAAGTTTATGTAAAAATTCATGCATTGTTAGTCAGAAACTGATTGTTCAGATTTAGGAAGAAATTTTCTTATGAAGAAATACAGTTTTCTTTGTTTTTTCCTGAAATCAATGAGTTACTGTAGTTTTATCGCTGTCATGTTTAACTACAGTGACTTTACAACAATGTATGTTGAATAGGGAAATTTCTAAAAGCACTGTGAAAACTTCCCTTCAGTATGAAACTTGCCTTTTACATATTCAAAAGTTTTTGGAAATTCATCACTTTATTTCAGTAAAAATCATTATATTCTCTGATAGTCTCAAGGTTACCTTCAGACAAAGTCCAGTAATCCATTCCTCAGCAACTGGTAAAGTAAATGGAAATGGGATGTGTGTGTTCTGTGGCCATTTTTAAGCATTTTATCAGGAAGATCTCAGCAAGATATGCTTTCTCATGGTACCCTGCACTGAGGGTTTTTTTCCAAGTTAAGTTGGCACTAAACTGCTCTGCTCCAGGTTCTGAATGGAGCCAAGTCTGAACTACAGATTTTCCTGTGGCACATTCATATCTTAAAATTGAAGAATATGAAAAAGCCCTAGATTTTTACATCCTTTTCCAGAGGATTTAGAGTTTCCCTAAACAAACATTAAATACTAAAAAATCAGAATTCACTGAAACAGTATAATTAGAGTTCAACCACAAATCCAGGTTTGCACTTTTCACTTACGTGTTCAGGTGAGCAGGCTGATCTTTAAAAAAAAAATTGACATCCTGAATTTATCACCAGAAAAACAGTCACAAAAATACTATTTGGTGTGATTTTTCTCATGCCTCCATGAAGAGACTTTGGCAGAAGCTGCAAAAGAAGTTTCTTGCTACTCATTATTTCATATATGAATCTTGAACATATGCTCTGAGTGGGTTTGAAATCACTTAGATTTGGTTTTTTATTTATGTTTATTATTGTGCAGTAATCCATAGCACTGAAAACATGTCATAAAGAAAACTGTGCAGTAGGGTATTAGTGGGAGAAATATTTCAAAACAGTATTTTTAATACATTGCTTAATCTCTATGGTGACTGGCATATTTATTTGATTTGTAATGCATTCTCTTTGTTTACCCATATTTGCCTCATCATTTCATATTGCCAGGTATTTGGTTAATGTTATTATTTTGCACTTGAAGAAATTATGATGGGATTTTGAACATTACGTGATTTTATATTTTTCTGGTTTTATTAATATTTCTTTTTTCCTCTAGAAAGGTCCTAAAGGAAATCTCTGTTGGAGACCTAAAGCCTAATGAAACAGTTGAAGCAAATCTGGAAGCACAACTACTCTCCAAATTAGACCATCCAGCCATTGTCAAATTTTATGCAAGCTTTGTGGAGCGAGATAGTTTCTGCATCATCACTGAATATTGTGAGGTGAGACTCAAGAAATTTGACAAAATCTGGCAATTTAAAAAAAAATGTTTTAGTTTGAATTTTAGGCTTTATTTGTTACTTATGGTATCACCTGCTATTTGTTAGGTGTATTTCGGATAAGCAATGTTAGCCACTGAAGTGAGACTCATAGAAAAAAAAACCAGAGAAGAGTAAACGGGTAATTTTCAGTCCAAGTCCTTTTTGTGTGTTATAATCAGTATTACAAGGAAGAGTTAAATGCAGATATGTTACACATCTGTAGGAGAACTCAGAAAGGTTGTACCACACATGTACTGCTTATAGGTAAGAGGATGAGACTGGGAGTTTGGGGGCATGATATGAAATGTGATATAAATGAGGAAGGGAAAACTCACTTGTCATTTGGTGTTGATTACAAGAAACTTAAGCTTGATCACATGGATGATGAAATTGGTAGCAACATTGGCTCTGTGGAATGAAAAATAGTGTAAGTGAAAGACCAGAGTGTAGTGGATACAAAAAATATTAAAGCAGGATATATTATAGTATAGTTACCATTCATTTTTCAACTAAAAACATATTGCTGAAATCTGTCTTAGACTTTAAAAATAAGATTTTAAAAATATTTAAGCCAGCTTTTTAGGAGTTTATGTAAAACAAGTGCCTACTTTGTATTAAATATAGATATGCTCTTAAAAAAAATAAATCTGTCATACATGAAATGATCTTTTATGAAACTGTGAAGCAAACTCTTCAGCTGTGCTCTGCTAGACATGCTGAAATGCTTTGGGAGCTAATGATTTTTATGCTACTGGATTGCCTGTCCACAAATCAGACTTGACTTAACTAATCACATTTCTTCAAGAACTTGGCTTTGGTGGGAATAATTAAGCAAGTACTGTGCCTACAGTTATTTCTTTCTTAGAAGCTTTGTTTGAGGACAGTTAAATCCCTATTTATTGCTGGGATTTTTAAAATCTGAATCTGAAATATTCAATTCTGTGAATCTTAACAATCTTAATATTTGTTTACAAATTATTTTAACACCTGTGCAGAAGCTCTTTGTGTCATTCCCTGAATGTCTGATAGCTGAGGCTTGAGTGTATTACCAACTCTTTGAGGAAGTCCAGAGCTCAGAACTGAAAGATTATTCTAACTGTCCAGCTATTCCCATACACTCATAATTTTCTCTCTACTGATGGTACAAAGTGGCCCAACACCAGATAAGTTAAACATATAGGAATAAAGGAGCCTATTTCAGCAGCATTATATGGCTTTTGTCCACTGATTTTCTTCTCTTTTCTTTTTTTCTTTTTTTTTTTTTCTTCTTTTCATCCAGAATAAAGTTATAGGTGATTAAAAAATAGCATGGTAGCAATCAGTGGAGTAGTCACGCCTTGGAGGTTTGGGTTTTTATTCAGGCAATATAAACTACCCTGCATGAAAACCTTTTGGTACTGAGCTACCCTAGGAGCTGGGACTCATATACTCAAGCACATGAGAATGTATTAGAGCAAGTCAAATGAAGGAGGAGGAAATAGATTCACTGGCTATGCACTGAAGCTCTTCAGTTTTGAGTCTGCTAGGTCAGGTCAGAATGATATTTGGTCCAATAGGATGTGCTTCTGACTTTCCAAAAGGACACATTATGTGGTACGATTGCATTTAAGCAATTATGATATATTTCATCGGATGTTCAGGCAAGAAAGGTATAAAGCAAAGTGGCACACAGTGCTATAAAGTTTCTTTCCTATTTTAGTGGGAGTATTTTCAGAAGGTATACTTCTGTATTTGCTTATCTATAACCTGCCTTTGTATGTGGTGGGATTTGGGTCTTTTGACCTAGAAGATGCCTGGTTAAAAACTGTGCAGAACTGAGAATGAGAAAAATGTTTTGCTACCTGATGTTGTTTGGAAGTCTAGTACATTCAGTTTCTCATGCATAGAATAATTACCAGATTGGCAGTAATTGGTACTCTTGGGCAGACTCAAAACAAAGAACAGGCATTAAGTTGGCATGGAAACAGAACTGCCCTCTGAGTCTTGCTCTGCTTTCTCCAAAGTACCGTGACTTATTCGTTAGCCAGGGTGCTTTCTTCATTCTTGCATGAGTAGCGTATAGTGAGCCTCCAATGTAGCTGCCCCATGCTATACTTGTCCTGTGAAAGAAAAAAAAGACAGCATTGGCCTCCATTGCTCAGCTCGGCATCTTTTATTATAACTGAATTCACGAAAAATTATAGAAAAGAAGTATATGTCTTCTGTTTTGATCTTCTTGTGGAGCTTCTTTGACAGTTTCCACCAATCAAAATGTTATGAGTAACATAAACATTGTCAGCTAAGGCAGATTTCAAACAAAAATGTCTTAATGAACCTTGGATTTCATTTTGTAGTATAAATTGGACTTCAATAAAATACAGTTTTTACAAAGTGGTTACTTTAAAAGTTGCATCATTTTAATATATTATAAACCAGAACTGGTTGTGCTTTTCCCCAGACAATTATTTATGTCTCTTCACTGTGGTCTCAGCTGTGATGTGAGTACACATATGCTAAGGAAATCTGAGCAAAAAGAATAACTAAAGCAATCAATGCTTGTTCACGTTACCAGCTCTAGATGCTAAGCTTTCTTAAGTAAGTTACTGGTGTGTTTGATACTCTTGATATTTAAATAGAAACTGCAGCTTGGAAACTCCATATATACTCTAATTGTTAAATTGTTGAATTCCTTATGAAGTTCATTATACTGACCTTCCAAAGTGCAAATTGGGTTAACAAATTTTTTCAGCGTTTCACAACAGCAGTATTTCAGGAAATCTTTTATGGTTTTTTTTGTTTTCCTTTTTTTTTTAGACACAAAATCAAGGTTAAAGTTATTGTAGAACATTGAGATCACTCTTCTCTTCTTGAAGGTAAAAAGCCATGCAGTTATGTGAGGGCACATGTAGTGCATTATTGAACTGCTTTTGTTCTCCTTTGACCTTTTGAAGGAATTGTCCCTCAACTTCAGAGTATTCACTATCCTAACTCTGGAGGTCCTGCACTTATTTTCTTTGCACTTTTCATTTCAATGTGTTGTTGTGAGAGGGGCCACTTTGGGACAGGGAGAAACGCTGGTTGGAGCCTGCTGCACTTCATTTATCCTCACCTGGATAGTACAAAGTCTCTTGTGGCCAGTAGCACAAGTTTGAGCATCTCCTCAGTTTTGGGCAACTGTTACAGTTGGATGTGGATGGTCTGGGGATGTTTCGTCTGGAACAGGTGAGTCATTATTTTTGAGGTGTGTGAGTAGGCTCAGACAAAGCCCATCTAGTTGCCCTGCAGCAGAGTACCCAGCATTTTTCTTTCTTTTCTCTGCTTTGCTGCAAGCAGCCACGGGGGAAGCTGTTGAACATTTGGAGTTGCAAAGGGGAAGCAGCTGCTGAGAGCTCCAAGTTCCCAGAAGAGCTTCTCTCTGGGCTGCAGCAGGGAGGCAGATGGAGAGCTGAAGCCATATTCCCTTCCCTAGGGAATGAGATTATTCAGACATTTCAGTTAAAAAATTGCAGGACATTGTCAGGGGCACATGTTTTTGCTATATGACAAAATACTTTTGATTTCTTTTAACGCACTCTTCAATGTTGTAACTTACAACCTCAGGGGCCGTAGAAATTACTGTAAATTCATGTGAAAGGCATGGGACATAAATGCATGGATCTGTGAGGACAGAACCTGCTTATTTTGTAGTAGTAGCATGAAGCACTGGGATGCTGGGAACAGAAAAATAAGAAATGCTGAAGAGATCATAAAATGTTGAGGGTCAGCAATGCAAAGGGTCAAAGGGGTTGATGATGGGAAATGACAGTACTGATACAGTCATGCAGGCTAAACTATTGTATATGGCACACAAAACTTCTGATTTTATGCAGAATGTATAATGTAAAAGTAATGATTTATGGCGAATAAGCTGTCCTGGTGTAAGGTAAGTAGTCATTAGAATATAATGAGGCTCACAGTCGCTTTGCTCTGGGATTAGTTACCTCAACACATTGCTTACCACTAATGTGAGTGCATTCTTGTAGACGAGATCCATTCATTTTATAAACTGGATAAACAATCAGCTGACAGCCATCTGTCTATTTTTTTAGCAAAAAGAACAGTTTTACTGTAAGTCTCCTAAAAATCCACTTTCATCATGTTGTTGTACAATTAATTTTTCCAAACGTCTGGCTTACAGTTTTAAAGTAGTCTTTTTCTGAATATTTTTTTCTGGTTTATTGTCACTCCCTACTGTGCGTCATATTGTTCCATTTCCAGTATTAATTCAAGATCAGTTGTAATTTTAATGAGGTATTTGCTAACACATGCTACATCTTCTTGCAGCTTTAAATCTGCTTTGTTTCTGGAAAAAGTGAGTTTGAAAGAGGGGCAAAGTATCATAATTAAAGACTGTATTTTAATTCTTAAGAGAGCAACATGGTTTCTTTGATGCTGACATGCTTATTTTAATGTAATAAATCAGAGTTTCTCTTGACTGTGCAGTGTTTGACTGGAGTGGAAAAGTTTTCCTCAAATTTATTAACTCATTTAGACTGATTGGGTCAGATAGATTTTACTTATTTAGGTGTCTATATATTAGGCAGTCAGTGTAGGCTCTCATCATAAATCTTTGCAGAGAAACAGCATTTCTACAACACGATCCATCCCTTCCTAAGGTACACAACTAGGAGGCAGAGATAACTGCACTGTACAGGTGCATCTTGCTTTGTGTTGGCCATAAAGGGGGTTTGGGGTGACCAGCTCAGATGCACACATCTAAGTTGGGTGAAATGAAGTAAGAACACTTCAAAACTTTGATGATATTGTATAATGTTAAGAGCAAATTGACCTACCTTCCCTATGGAGCCAGACTTCTTGATCTCACTTTGATCCTCAGTTGTGTATGCTTTTGGTCCAGGGAGAATTCAGAATTCACACATGTGCATTAATTTTACAGACTTCGTGGTAAGGAGCCTGAAAGGTCTAAGAAAGTGGAGTCCTGTACTTCGATGAAGGAGATAGCATTTTAAAAACTTGCTTTAAATAGACAAATATGTTGTGATATTTTTCAGGGTGGAGATCTAGACCTTAAAATTCAAGAGTACAAAGATTCTGGGAAGACAATCACTCAAAGTCAAGTAATAGACTGGTTTATACAGTTGTTACTCGGAGTCAACTATATGCATGAAAGGTACAGTCATTTATTATGAGACCATTTAGCTTGGGAGGGGAATGAGTAAACTTACTGACTAGTTGCAGATACTCAAACAGAAGTGAAACCATGTGGATTATCTTGTATTGGTATATAGTTCTGTTCACCAAACTGTTTTACTTAGTATATGTCATATATCTCAATTGTAATTAATTATCTATCCTGCAAGAACATTGTGCATTATATCTTTTAGCAGCACAGTGCTAGGTGTCTTTTAGCATTAGACACACTTTTTCTAAGAGCCAAATGAAAAATGTATCACAACAGAAAGAGTTCTGTATTGTTCGAAGAAAGTGGATTAAAGGTTTAAAACAAAGTCAACTTTTTAGAGGGGAATCAACAAGGATGTCTTGCAGATACTTAATGTGAAGAATCCAATATATATGCTTGATGGACTCCCACTAAAATCAGTGAAGTTACGTACACACCTTCTTTGAAAACAGACATCACTTTGAACAGAACATCAAAGATTAACTTAAAAAAAATTCTACAGGTGATCCAGATATGTGGAGATCACACATGGTTTAAGTAGGACTAGTGTATATACGTGAATACCTGCCTGATCATATCTATGAGTGCAGTTCTTGCCTGTGATGTGATTTAGGCAGGCTGACCTCAGTGTTCTAAGCAGTTCCCTTGTTGCCAGTATACTGGACATGTGTGTGAGCCCTGTCTGATCCCCTTTCTGCATCACCTGGTGCTGTCACCTTTTCAGGGCTTGGGCAAAATTTACTTACCTGAACTTGAGTTGCAGCAGAGCAGTAGGTAGGAGAGAAAGTCACCTATCATCAAAACCACCCATTTCTGAGTTGAACTGAAGTTAAGTGTGTGGAATGTGTTTGACCTAAACTGATGGATGCTTCATGAGTTTTTGCACCTACAGTGTCAGACTGTAGAGGGAAGAGGGCAGAGTGAATTGCTGCCCAGGATGCAGGAGCATTTGTGTTCCTACATACCAATTTATCTAGGGCTGTTGGCAAACATGAAGTGTTTCCCAACAGACTGCAGTGATGGGAGCACAGTGAAGAGAGCTTTCTTGCAGTGCTGTGCTCTCCAGCATTCACCATAGGCTGACAGGATGGGGCAAAATGGAAATAAAAAGCCTGACAATTTAACTGAACTATCAGTGTGGGGATTTTCTTTTTTTTCTTGAACTCCAACCTAACAACTTACCATTAAAAGTTTTGTTACTTTGTAAAGTCCAGTTTTGATGAAATCCTTCCTGTAGTGTATGTGTTTAGAAGATGCATTGTGCAGACTAATGCAGAATAATCACAACATTGCACTTGGTCTAGGTGATCATTGTAGGTCCTTTCCAACTACACTATTCTACCGTATGGGTTATTCTTTTTGTCTTTTAATTTCTGTATTTCTTCATGCCTCTTTTATCTCTGGTTTTCACATATGTCTCTTTTGTCTGCTCTTCTCTTTATGTTACTCATTGTCCACTTGTTCTCAAAGAAATTTTTAAAGCCAAATAAAATCTTAAAAATAAACTTTCTTCAGTAAATATGTATATTAAATTATTTGGTTTCCCAAAAAGTAGGTTAATTCTCCAGTGGAAGCAGGAATTTGATTTTCTAAACAGCATTTAATTTTCTCCATTTGAAACATAGCTATTTAATAGTACCTCTCCAGACACTTACAAATGACTTCACAGTTTTAGTTTTATTTATATGTATTTGTTTGTATAATGTGTTATTTGAGTATGCATATTAAAAATTTAGGTTTTTCTTCTTATTACTTTAGAGCCAAACACTAGCTTAAATTGGAAAGGCTTAAAAGAATTTAGAACTACTTACAGAAATTAATTTGAAATACTAAAACATAATAACAACCCTGTTTCTGTATAGAGAAGTCATTCATGATTTCTTCTCTACTGATATAGAAAAAAGCTGTAATATATGTTTGAATTATGTCCCAATGCAAAGAAAACTTTTCCCTAGAACTAGAAGCTTGAAGAGTTTGTAACCTGTGGGTTGGGACTTCCTCATGCCATTCCTTAGCAAACCCAGCTGCTGTGGATGGGTGTTTTTATTTCAGAGCAGCAAAAATTGTTATTTCTGGTTTTAAACATAGACTATTCACTTGGTTGTCCTTCTTGTACAGCTATAGTTGAACTTCCTATGCTTTTTGAAAACTCTTATGCTGGAAACTTACTTTAAACCAGGACTTTTTGACTACCTCAGGTTTTTTGTTTTCTTTTCCTGTGATAGTAAAGATTATACGGGTTAGACATTCCTGTCCATTACTTATACTTCATGAATTAAAAAAAAATGACGTAAATATCTTGTGGACATTGCGCTACCTACTGGCTATTTTGCATTATTGGAAAGATTTTTTAATTTGCAACGTGAAAGCTGACTTATCTAGAATTAAACAGATTCCATCTTCATCTGTGTTTGATATAACTAGAGAGAGAAAGAGAAGTAAGGGAGAGACAACATAGTTCAGTGGTCTTATCTAGATGGAGACAGCACGAAACCGTCATGTGGTCTCTCTGGCACACATGTAGCGCATCACACGTCAAGTGCACAAAATTAATCCCACAGCAATCAGGCAATGAGGCCATTGATTAATTTAACCTCAATTTGAATAAATCTGACCATTATGTTTTCCATCACTTTGCCAATCTTTATGAAGAATTTATGAACACAGAGATTTTTTCAAAGGGTTACCATTTATGTAAGCAGCAGATAGTACAGGATTTAGGCTTACCCAGAACCTCTTATTGCTCTACATAGTTCTTCAGATAGAGGAAAGAGAAACTAATTACTGAGTATTTCACAGTAGTAAACTATTGTGAAAGCTTTCATCAGATTCACTTGTTGCTGGTTGTGTTGCAGACAAAGCTTTATTCAAGGGTGCTGCCCACTGCTCAGTGCTTTGTCCTGTTGGTTTATGACTAAGAGACAGCAAGCAGATACTCTATTGAACATAGATGTATTTACAGCCCAATTTAGAAACTGTCCTAAAGTGTCAATTTCTATCTAAAACAATCAGTCAATAACTACTTCACTGTCTGTCAAGTTTTACTGGAGCCCATTTAATTCATGTTACCTTTATAAGTCTCTTTTGCTGCAATAAAGAAGTTGCACTCTTTCTTAAAAAGGATTTACAGTGCAGGCTCAATATTTTTTTCTTCCTAGAATTAAAATAGTTTCAGTTAAGGTTTCATCTTGTAACTTGTTTATCTTCTGATACATCATGGCAGAATATGGTGGCTTGCATTGAGAGACATCATCATGGAAAGTTCCAAAGATTCACCCCACGTATTTCTTTGTCATATTAATATGTGAAAGCATCTTATAATTATTGGTAATACAAACAATGTTCATAATAATAAGAATTTCCATCAATATATCACAAGATTATATCAACATTACATCTTAATTCAAGCTAATGTGACCCAAACACCTTCTTTTCATCTCCTTTTCAAACAATGTGCTACCAAAAGCTTTCTGGATAGTTTTTATATTTAAAGGTACCTGTTAGTAAAATAACAGATATTCAGAAAACGTTTAGGTTCAAAAATTCTGTGGTTATATTTCTAGAAAGCAGTAGTAATAGAAAAAGTTAAACCCCACCAATGCTCAACAACAATATGCAAGAAAACATATGAAAGACAAGTTCTTTCAAAGGCTCTGTGTGATAAATGGTAAGGAAAGGCTTTATGAATCTAAATTAACACAGCAAGATTTCTGTAAAACTGTGCATGTGTGTTTGTATATATATACACTTATGAAAGAATAATACATACCATCTTAATTTAATATCCTTACTGATGTAATGTATGATGAGTGTATGTGTATTGCTCAAGAAAGCTGTCAAATAGAAAGCAAATAACTTATAAACATCAGTGGAGACACACTGAATAAGACTTTTATTTTTCCCAGTGTGCAAACCTTTCTCTACAGGCATTGCTTTCAGGACACAAAATTGAAAGAAAAAAATTGAAGAAAAAATTGCTATAGGAAGCATAAAAAACTCTTTACTTAGACCCATTAAAAAAATATATTTCTTTTTCATGCCCAGTCTATGTACATACTGCAATGGCTTCTAGTATTATTTTTCATGGGGTTTTTTCCATTTGTGAACTGAATTTAATATTTCTCTTCTTGCAGAAATTATTTTCAAATGAGTTGTGGACTTAATTGTGTATTGAAATTGTTCTTCAGAATGCATATTTTTTATTCTTAATATAGAAACTATTTTGAAAATAATTTCATTATGCCAATGCATAAGATTTTAATAGTTCAGTCAAATTTGAGATAATCCTTGAGGATTGCTCAGGAAAAATTAAAATCGGTTACTATATTTGTTTTTCCTGTCCCAATCTCAAGAATCTTAGACATGAGTTGCTTCCTTTACATGATGTAAATGGCTGAATGACTAATGTATTTGTATTAGCAAATACAGTTTCTGTAGCCAGTATGTATCAAATGCCTTTCTAACCTCCTCCTGAGCAGAGCTGATAATGAATCCTCTGTGTTGTTAGCAGTCATTTTAAAAGTGGATGAATTCTAGTTTAGTTGAAGTTATAGGGAACAGTGCTTTTGGAAGCATTATTGACAAGAATTAGTTGAGAACATGTTTTGTAGAGGTGTTCTGTTTTCCTAAGGGGCTGCAGAATTACTGTCACACATGTAAGATTTCTAGAAATGGAAAAGATTCTGTATATCCTTAAATGCTGTGTAGCTTATCATGTTGTTTCAGGCTTTGATGGAAAAATAAGTCTGCAAAAGCTACTTGTTCTTTTCCTTTTCATCTCTGTCTTTACTGTAAAGTTCTTTTGTCTTCCACACTGTTACTGTAAAAATTGAACGACTAGCCTAGTCTATATACATATTTGTCTTTCAAGTAATACTTTTTCTCCAAAGGAGAGTTCCCTGAGCTTTGAGAATCTCTTACTGTTGTTTTTCTCATCACTTATTCTCTTGTGAGACATCTCGTTCTCCTGGCAGAAAATAAGACTTAATGCTTTTAAGACAAGTCAGATGGGAAGACTTGCCTTTCTGCCTTCCTCTGCAGCTCATGCCAAGTCTGTATCTGTATTCTTAAGCTGGGATCCCCGGGTACGTTTTTATTATCCTGGCTGCTTAGGCTCTCATCCTGCATATGGGTACCTGTGAATGCACCTCTGTGTTTATATGAAGCTCCTTAGTACCATTGCCTGTGCATTGTCACTTGCAGAATTAGCCTGTAGCAGTGGTGGGCTAGCCTTTTGGAAAAGGTAAATACTAGAAATACTTAATACATGACTGTGAATGCTTCCAGTTGGATGAGGTTGAATTTCCTTTTGTATTCCAGACGGATACTTCACAGGGATTTGAAAGCGAAGAATATATTTTTGAAAGATAATCTTCTTAAAATTGGTGAGATTTCCATACTTTTTTAAAGGTATGTTTTTGGTATGATAGAACAGTCTAGCAGATGTTTTGTCAATAAAGAGATTTTAAAAAATCATGTCTGAAATAACATTTTGATTTGTGGTTAAACATTTCTTAGACAGTCAGACACAGGAGAGGCGGTGAAATTTCTAGCCTTGAAGGTACTTCAAGGTTGACTGGACCTGGACCTGAACAGCCTCATGAAACTTGCTTGCAGCCAGGGATTTGACGTGGGTGGCCTTGTGAGACCTCTTTAAATCCACATAGTTCTGTGATGTTATGCCTTTGTGGTGTTTTTATTTTGAAGAATTACAGAAAATCAGTTTTTCCATTGTTTTAAATACTGCCTGGGTTGTTGTTGTTTTTTTGGTTTTTTTTGTTTGTTTTTTTTTGATGTACAGTTATTTCTAACAATAAACAGAAAAAGTTTATATCATATAGATTTATATTAATAAATTATTGGGTTTGCTTATATTTTTAGGAGACTTTGGAGTTTCCTGTCTTTTGATGGGTTCATGTGACCTGGCAACCACATTTACTGGGACACCACACTACATGAGTCCAGAAGTACTGAAGCACCAGGGATATAACACAAAATCTGATATTTGGTGAGTAGTCAGCTATTTTAGTTTGATTAGGTATTTATTTTCTAGGTCAGCATTTGATGTTATTTAGGAATTACTCTTTTTTATTTTTTTTAAAGACTTTTTCAGTAGGGTGCTTACACTACTCCACTAAAACTATTTTGGGACATTTGAATCATATGTTGCCAATCTGAAGCCTTTTCCTTAATATTAGCATGTAGTTTGCTGTTACTCTGGGTTGTCTGGGACTTTAAAGATGAGAAAGTTTCAGGTCCAGTCTCTGACATGGTACAGGATGATTGTAGGACAAGCTCAGGTTTTGCTAGGAAGGGGGAAATCTCTTTTTTTCTCACATTGAGATAGATGAATTGAAAGAAGCAACTTTCTGTGAAGCTTCTAAGTGGATGAGCAAAGAGTGACTCCTGGCTGAGAGGATAGCAGAAGGACCTTCTTAGGAACTGAATTGAAAAATATTGGCAAATGTTAAAAGGAAGAAAGCACTTGGAAGTGGAGTTGAAAATGAGAATAACTGTGGTGTTAGAACAGAAGCAAAAAAGCACTCTGTTTTAGGACAGGTTCAAAAGTAGAAAGAAAAGTGTCAGTGCTGCACTTAGCTGGCACAAATTCTTGAGATCAGGACTTCTGAAGTGATGATTAAAGAATGAAGTTGAGAAGCCAAGATCTTTTGAAAGACTTTAGGAAACTTTTAGGTGTGCAGGCACTCTTGCAAGCCAAGATGAAAAATGATTTTTTTTTGGAATGGGGAAAATATCTGGTTTGTTTATATGTGTGTCCTAAAACATCTCATGTTTTAAGACTATAGTTAAAGCTATTAGTGGTTTTTTTTTTATTCTGTCATAGTATTTTTATATGTAAGGGGCTTTGTTTCTTTTATGAGGTGTTTTAGTTGTCTGGTTTTTTTTTTTTTCTGTAGGTGTGCATATCAGAAGGTTCATTTTTATAAATATTTCAAATCAGGAAAAATTCCTTTGTAAAACATTTGGCCACTGAAATATAATGTTTTTTACTTGATAATTTACTCTAGTTTCAGTTCAGTTCTGCCTTTTCAGAGTATACTTGTGACTGCAGGATATAATTCTAAAAGTGGAGAGCAATCATCTATACTTTCAAATGATAGCAACCATTTTTCACAGCTAACACATTCAGTCCAGTCAACAGATGTGTCATGAATCTCATCTCATGGTCTGTGTAGCTGACTGCTATGGATTTGATGTCGGATTCTCTCTAGTTCATCTGTATCAAAACAAATGCCAGTTAATACACGTCGTCAATAAAAATATATTGAGAGAAGATTTCAAGAGATGTCAAAACAAGTGAATAGACAGGGAAGCCTGCCTTTTGTGCTCTTTTGATGTAAGGAATAATTGCTTTTGTTGCAGTTGAAATGGAATGTAAAATACATGTTTAAGTTCTGTTTGTGGTTACTAGCATCAATTCGTGTAAGTCGTTGAAGTTGTACAGAGGAAATGCAAGCAGAGTTTGGTCCAATATTTTTAGAAATTATTTTTATAAATTTCGAAATTTACAAAAACACAGAAAAAAAAGACCCCCACCCCAAACTCAGTAGCTACTAGCTTTCTGCTATACTTTATGCATTTTGTAATCTTTCTAAAGCATGACCAAGAGCACTTATCTGAGAGTGGAACTGCCTTCAGTACAAGCTTCATGGCCCTCACTGTAGGGGCATTAAGGACGAAGCGTGCCCTGATTCACCAGTTCTCCAGCCTACAAATCCCTTCTTTTTTTGAGCCAGGAAACTCTTTTTCATCAGGACTCTCATAGTTTCATCTTTTATTTTTTAAATAATGATTTTATTTGATTTTTTTTTTTTTTTCATTTTCCCCATTTAACAGGGCCCAAAAGACAAGAGGTCCCTGAACATACAAGGGAACCCACCCTGGAGGCTCCAGATGAGATCAAGTCCTTGGGCCAGTGTGCAGCAAGTTCAATTCCTCACAGAGAATCATACTCTCATAGAATGGTTTGGGTTGGAAAGGACCTTAAAGACCATCTATTTCCAAACCCCTGCCATGGACAGGGACACCTTCCACTAGATGAGGTTGCTCAAAGCCCCATCCTCAACCTGACCTTGAACTCTCTCTCAGTTTGAAGCCATTCTTCCTTGTCCTATCACTACACGCCCTTGTAAAAAGTCTCTCCCTGGCTTTCTTGCTGGCCCCCTTGTGTACTGAGAGGCTGCTCTGAGGTCTCCCTGGAGCCTTCTCTTCTCCAGGCTGAACAACTGCAGCTCTCCCAGCCTGTCTTGATAGGAGAGTTGCTCCAACCCTCTGGTCATCTTCGTGGTCCTGCTCTGGACTTGCACCAACACGTCTGCATCCTTCTCATCTTGAGGGCCCAGAGCTGGATGCAGTACTCCATGTGAGGTCTCACAAGAGGGAAGGATTGCCTCCCTCAGCCTTCTGGCCACACTTATTTTGATGCAGCCCAGGACACGATTCGGTTTCTGGGCTGCAAGCACACGTTGCTGAGCCATGTTGAGCTTCTCATCAATCAACATCCCTCAAGTCCTTCTCTTCAGGGTTACTGTCTTTCTCTGCCCAGTCTGTTTTTATGACCTAAGTGCAGGATCTTGAAATTTGCCTTGTTGTACTCCATAAGGTTGGCATGGGCCCACCTCTCAAGTCCATCACAGTCCCTCTGGATGGCATCCCTTACCTCCAACATGTTGATGATACCACACAGCTTGTTATTGTCAAACTTGCTGAGGATACACTCAATCCCTCTCTCCATGTTGGTGACAGTGGTTTAAACAGTACTGTGTACTGACCCCTGAGGAATGCCAAGGAGTTGCCCAAGTCTTTTATATATACCTGAAGTGATGTTTTCTCTTCAGACTTGTCATTCCAATCTCTAGCAGGACTTAAAATATTCAGAATTACAAGGGTTCTATGTTAAATGTAAGATAATGTAAAATATCTTCTGCAGAAGACAGTTAAGTGCTATCTTACTGTGTTATCAGGGTTCTCTCACTGTTCACTCCAGTTAATCGTTGTTCATTGGAAAGACCTTAATTTATTAAGCACATTAATGATGGGCTCTAAAGACACATTGTGCTTTTCATGTTCACTTGCATGTTCTGGAACTGGCTCTTCAAAACTGGCTTGAATATTCATAGTGCAGCAGCTGGTGTGAGAAGTATTGTCCTTTATAACCCAAGGTCAGTAGATGGGAAAAAGCTTCATGTTTTTCAGTTTTTACATGTGGAAGTTCTGCAGTCTGGTGTTTCTCCTTTCCATGTGAGGAGCTTCCTCAGGCAGCTGGTCTCAGTTCAGCAGTTCACCAACCCCTCTACCCATCAGTACTTCCCCCTAAAAGCCAAAGCAGTGCCGGCAGCTGAGCTGAGACAGTGACTAACCCAAGAGTCCAGGGCAGGTCGGGAATCAGTCAGTGACGTGTGTGTGTGCAAGTGGTAATTGGGCTCACTGGTACACCAGCACAGTGTGACCCAGAGACACTTCTGTGCCAGTGTCCTGGTGTCCCTTCCTGGCCTTATGCACTGCATGGTGGGACCAGTGCTGGTGCTGGGGGTTGGCAGGAATTCCCATGGCACCAGCGCTATGGCATGCATTTGTCTGGTCAAGCAAACTGAAGCAAACAGTTACCAGCAATAACATTTCCCTCTTCTTTTCAAGAATATGAACATATAAGGTAACTTTTAACATCCAGGAACTTTTCAATGGATTTGTTCATATTGTATGTTAGAAATTATCTCAGGGACAAAAATTATAACAGAAATACTTGTTGAAAAACAAATGCTTTTTTCCCCTTTCTTCCAAAGTAATGTCACAATTGCATGTAAAGCCGTTGTACATAAATTGGGCTACCTACATCACAGATCTTGTGACTTTGATTTATCGTGCTTGCTTGTCTGTGCTTTTCCTCCGGGTTGTCTTTTTCTTTAATATTAGCAATCCAAAAATGGCTTGTTTGTTTGTTTGTTTGTTTGTTTTGCTGCCAAATTTTATGTGGATTAGTTACCAAAAACAGCAGTAAACTAGTGAAGACAGTGGCTGATATAGTTGTGATGGTATGTGAGTACTTAGAATCATACATTATCTCAGGTTGGACGGAGCCCATAAGAATCATGGAGTCCAATTCCCTGCTCCTCACAGGACTACCAAAAACTAAATCATAGGACTAAGAGCATCATGTTCATCATGCTTCATGGCAGCTTCCTTCTGTACATGGTGATAGAATTTGTGTCCACCCTCTATTTTCCAGCCACTCTACTGACACTGTTCAAGTAGGAGCAATGTTGAGGCTGGGGAAGACAGCCAGCATGGGGTTCTCATTTAAGGGCTGATGAGTGAATATGAAGAAATTAAATTCAGAAACATGTTCCTCGTATTCCTCTGAAGCCAACAAACTGAAGACCTTCTGCTATGATCAGACTGAGAGATGTAAGCCACAAGGGTAAATCCATTTACATTATTGGCTTTTGGAGCTGAATTTAAAAGTTAACTTGGATCTTACAGCCTTGGAACAGCTGTAAGACATTTTTTACAAAAAACATCAAAAGATGTTAAAAGGACAAGAATGCTTGTGCAAACATTTAGCACCAAAAACCTCAGAGTGGTTTCTCCTGAGAAGGAAAAGGTACGGGTCTGTCAGTCAAGGTTGTAGAGAACACACTGAAGCCTGTCCAGATGATCCATTTTATGATGTAATTAAGCATAAGCAGCTGCAATGTGAACTAGTCATACAACAATTTTACTAAAGTTATGTGCTGTTTAGGAACTTTGTCAAACGTGTTTATGAATATACGGAGTCGTCAAAACCAAATGTGTTGGCTGGATGGTTTAATGACTATTTTAGAATTTTATAACATTGGCAATTATGTAGGCTGAGATTATAAAACTAATTAAATTATATGTCTGGATCATGTGCAGATTACTTATGGGAATAAGGAAGACATTTTCTCTTGCTCCTTACAAGGTGCTTAGACCAGAAATGTAGAAACACAGCTGAGTTTTGAGGCAAAAGCTTGGTGCAATTGCAGCTCAGCAGCTCTCCTGAGAAGAAATAAGCTTGCTCTGGGACCCAGAGCAGCGTTTCTCAGCTTAGGAGATATTTATTTAATTTCAAAGATTTGTATCCTGCACTAAAAACTTTATTCCTTTCCCCTCATTTTGCCTTCCCTCCCCCCCCCTATATTTATGTTTCGTGGGGCAGATGGAGATTTCCCTGGGTAGCCTTGTTCACGGCCCTGGCTGCAACAGAGTGCCCTGGGCATTCTTTTCATCCTTCTCCAAAGCCTCAGGTGTAGTCAGAGTACTAAACTAGATGAATAAATCAGCTTCCCCGATGTGGCAAATCCTATGTTCCTAATGGCTCATTAAGCAATTTTTAGCTGCCAGAATCAAGCAGCCTCCAAAACAGATTGATTCTGCAAAAAGAAGTTATAGTACAGTCTGTCAGGTTGGGATTTTCCTTCATTTTTTTTTTTCTTCTCTCTGGCTGGTTTCCATATTTATTTGATGCTATGTGTGTAGGGGTTTTTTCGTTGTTCTTTTTGTTTTAAGTATTTTCTCATGTAGTAATTATTTTGTTTCAGAATTTGAACATACATCATAAATATAGATCATCATTTGTGTGTTACTGTTTACTGATTTTGGAAGTTTGAAAGCTGTTTGACAGTTAAATCTTTAAAAAACTAGGCAATTATTTATGTACTTCATTAGTTGGTCTTTAGGCAGTCCTTAGCATAAATTCACTGGTAATTGTTTTCACATAATGCTTGAAAAGTACCGGTGAGTGGAGCACCCCATTCTCTCTCTTCTTCCCTATTTGCACTGTATGTAGACCCTGTGTTTCAGCTTTAAAATTATTTGCTCTGGTTCTTTTAGTGCTAGAAGGATCAAACCAATTCTTCTCCTTTAACCAGAATGAATAATTGAAACTTTATTCACTGTTTGCTTTCAAAGATAATGTTTATATCCTTTTCCTGAAAGCCATTCACCTGTACGTACTTCTAATTATTATCACTATGCTTTATTTTCTTACTACTTCTGTGAATTATAAATACCACAGTCAAATACTACATTCAGATATTTAAGTTGGTCTTGACCTGTGTCTGGCTCTCACCAGCATTTTCCATGACCTTGATCAAGTCAGTTCTCAGTGTCTCAGCTCTCCTGAGTGTAAACTGGAGGTAACACTGATCATCCTTCAAAGCCTTGAAAGATCAACACCACTGTTTTTTAAAAAACACTTGTCAGACAGAACCTGGTTGAAGTGCAAACTGTTATAAATAGTCATTATATAAATTATTATGAGAGCGTTTATTTTAGAATGTTCAACTTGCTGATTTTTTATGATTGCCATTAGGATTGGTGGATAGGGTGATGGTAAAGCAAAAGGCCTTTTAAAATTGTTTGCAATCTTTCTTCCTGGTTTTTAACTATTTAAAACTGACACTGGTTCTTAGCCAGGTCTCCAGAACTACATGTTCAGATTTCTTATATGTTCTCCAAATAAAATTTTGAGGAAATTTAGTTTTAGATGTTGCAATACGATGCTCTCACCTAAAGTTCCTTATTTCTTTGAGTACAAACTGATTTCCTAATCTATTTTGAATATGTGACCAAGTGAGTGAAATCACACCAGAAGACATTTCTGTTATTTGAAACTGGCATTATTTAATTTGAACTTGAATTTTAGCTTCAGTCTGTTGTCAGAAATTAATTTGCAAAACCAATTTAACCAAACCTATGCCCAAACACTACTAAACTGTTTTCTGAGTCAGTCACTAATTAAAAATTTGTATTCTTTACTTTACTCTTTAATGATTGCTTAAGGTAGTTCATCTAATGGGTTTTTACTTTATTTTTACATATATATATATATATGAATATGTGTATTTATATATAGAATCTGTAGAAATAGAATGTTGAGTTATCCTGTTTATAAATTTATCAATTTGTGACCTGCATAAAAATATTTTAGATGAAAAGGATACTATGATAATGAAATATCCTTCCCTGGAGAAAAGGGCATACGATTGGGATTTTACTTACTGTAATATCAGTATGCATGCTACTTTCAAAAATATTGCTTATGCTATTCCTATTTGTTTATTTTTCAAGGTCTTTGGGATGCATTTTGTATGAGATGTGCTGTATGAACCATGCATTTACTGGACAGAATTTTTTGTCTGTTGTGATAAAAATTGTGGAAGGTGATACACCTTCTCTTCCTGATAAATATCCAAGCAAACTGAATGCTCTGCTCTGCAGGTATATGATTTTCTTGCTTAGTGGGTTTTTCAGTTAGTTTGAAAAATCGCTGAATTATTAATTTTGTTTTTTGATGTTCCAGCATGTTAAATAAGAATCCTTCTTTGAGACCAGCAGCAGCTGAGATCCTAAAGACCCCTTATATTGATGAACAACTAAAGGTGTGTAAGGAAAACTGATAGCTGTACACTTATCATTTGAGTATGCATTTTGCAGAAACAGAATGGAAACAAGGAAAACATGCTGAGAAAAAATAATTAGATAGCAGTTCATGGGAACATTAACCCAGGGGACTTTCAGAGCTGTATTACAAATATGACTGAGGGAGTGAGGCAGTGAGAAATGAAGCCCTTGTCACTTGATATGCTGAATGTATCTCCTCTTAAATGCTATGAGCAATAAGGAAAACAGAGATTTATGTGTAGCAAGTGCAGATCATTTAGGCCTGGGTATATATATATATCTAAACTGTTCTGGTTAGTAATAATTTTAATAAAAACCAGTGCATCTTGCTCTTTTGGCTGCAGGGTATATATTATTTGGCTTTAGAAGAAGGTGGGGAAGGAAACTGTGTAGTCAGGTTTTACATTAGGACTGTATTGGGTCATAGCTGAAGAGTCTGGATAACTTTAGCATCAACTGTTGACACCCCTTCTATTTTATTTCCTTGCAGAAAATACAGTTCGAATTCACAAACATGACTGTGAAAGAAAAGGCACTTAACTGGCAGAAAGATACTGCTTCTGTTTTTGATGCTGTGTAAGTATTTTTAACAGTTTTATAGGCAGCAGTATATGAAATTACGGTGTTGCCAAGTAATATAATTAATACTTCTGTTAATCTTATAGTGCTTTATATTCAGAGGGACCCATTCCCCAGAAACACAGAAGAGAAACCACATTAGTAAGGCACATAATTTGTGGATCAAATATTTTTATTATATGACTGTGTGAATTGTGCATGCATGTGTAGTATATGCTTATGTTAATTTAGTACAAATTGGTATGTAAATTATGACCTTTGTCTTTAAATTTTGAAGGCTTAAGTCGTCATTTTAGTTATGTCAGGATCGTTTATAGTGCTATTGTCTCTGTACCTGTTAATAATTGAGTGTGAAAGCTATGTTTCCTAAATGACACTAAGCTAAAAAGCATAAACTAATATTCATCTAATAAATTTTTAGGATACTATTATATTTGTCTTGTAACTATAGTGAGAAATTAAGGCTAGTGATATTTCTTGGCTCTAACATCAGTAATGTCTTTGCACATAATCTCTCTCAGGCACTGAATATATTTTAAATTATTTAATTGCATTAAATTACAATGCTGCAATGTTTAAAGCGAATGTCTGCACAGGCAATTTAATTTTGCCTTTGTAAATTAGCTCTTCAGTTTCATTGGCAGCTGGATCTCCCCTTTGCTTCCAGTCCCTGAGTTTTCTGCACAGGTTTTGCTCAGTTAGAAGCTAACATGCTCAGAATCAGGAGTTTGTAATCCTGTGAGGAAGCAATGGACACCCTTGTTTCTTGTTTCCTCTGAATAACTTTCAGTTCTTTAACAGCTACCTGAAATGTCTTTTGATTATTAGGGAACAGCAATAAAGAAACCCACACTCCAGTCCAGGATTAGCAGTGCTTTTGAGTCAATAGGCCTTTCCCTTATGGTTTTTTGTGACCTCAGCTCTAGGACCAGGACCCACAGTTTTGGCAGTTGTGGTCACTTTGCAGGTGCTGCCAATTTTGCTGCTTGCAATCATCCCTTCAGAAGAGGTGACCGTCTTCAGCTTTTCCAAATAAAGTGTTGTTTACAATCACTTGTAGGAAGAAAGCAGAGTACAGACAGTTGAACTCACAAAATCTTCTGTACATCATTTTATCCAGTATAAGTACTGGTAGTGTATCTGTAGGGTCTCATCTCTACAAATTATGGTTTGGTTTTCTGTCCTGTTGCTTCTGTCTCTTGTTGACAGATAAGTCTGTGTCTTTTTGTGAGACCAAAGCTCTCTGTTTTGGCATGAATAGGTACCTTTAATATAAATAGGTTGTTGAACTTTGCAAGCATTGATGTAAAATCAAACAATATATACTCTATACATTCAAGTTGTTTCAATTAACTTTGAGAAGACTCCTGCCTTTTCAAATTAAATACAGTTAAGTACAGAGAAGTTCCTCAGAGATATACCATAAAGAGTTTTGGGGCACTGAAATCTTGCCCAAATATTATGCCAACAGTATCTGGATTATATTGAGTATTTAACGCTTACTGAAACATAGAGTATGAGAATCTCCAAGAAACTTTTAATCCATGCCTTTATCTTGTGAGTGCAAGATTTCAAATTTTCTGTGTCTACCAAAAAGATTGCAGCTGTTTTAAGGAAGCAGTGTAGTTACCTGCCCAGTATATACTCCGACTTAAAATACCCCCATGCTTCTAGAACAGACTGATAAAACCAATTTCTATTGTTTGTAATATATACTAAGTTCTATACCTGATGCATTGTCATTATTTTGAATATATTCTGGTTTTACACGTTTATTAAAACATTCTGGTTATATTTTTTATTAAAAGGAAATAGAAACTCAGCTGCTGCCATGCAGAGGTCCAGAGTTCCCATAAATTAAATGACAACTGCTTTTGTTTGAGCATGGAAATTTACCTGGAAATTTTAAAATTCAAGACATAAATGTGAGGAGAAAAAAAAAATCCTAGGAGAAGCTTCCCTATAAATTACCCTAACATGTGCTACAGTCTGATTATTTTTGTCCAAGTATTTGAAATATGCAAAAATTCATGATCTTATTGTGACTTTCATTGTACTTATGAGAACACTAGCTGTCTGTATTGCTACGGGTAAGCAAAATGCCAAGTAATTTCTGCAATTCCCAGATCTAAAGAGGTAGGTAAAATGAACTAAAAGAACCTGAAAAAAATGATAGAAAGTGGAAAAGAAGAGGAGAAAAAATTTAAGCGTAGTGAATTCTCCACATCTACTGTAATGGATCAATACTCTGGTCCCAGTGAGCGTACAAAGTTTCTTGTAATGGTGTCCTTTGCAACCATTGCTACTTTATATTTTAAATTTTTCAAAAATACTACAATATTACTTTCTTCTCACCAGGAATTCTTTTAGCCATTTATGATTAAGTCTAGTTTCTTCTAGTAAAGGCCTCTGATGGCTTACTTTATTCGGGTCCCATGCAATTCATAAATTTTAAATGTTTAAGTAAGCATGAAGCTGTACAAGTTCAGCTTTGACTTGAATGAAAAAATGGGGTTTTTCCCCAAGAGATTCTTATAATTTAAAGTTTTTTACAGAGGACAAGAAATATGTCTACATTATTCATACTTGAAGAGTTAGTTCCATTCTTATGAATAATTGAACTCTTCTTGTCTGTGTCCTTAATATTTCATATTTCACACTAATATTCATATCTTTGCATTATTTGAAAAGCATAATGAAATGTTCTCTGCTCATTTATTAAAATCCTGATTTCAAAATGATAGTCCAAAAGGAGTGTTACAATTTGTGTGGTTACAAACCTGGCTCTTAGATTATCAGAAGTGAATTTATCTCATAAGGGCAAAAATAGTAATTTGAAATTAATACTTGTTATCATAAATACATGACAAATATATATTGGTGTAAGTGAAAATGACTACCAAGGCATTTCAAACTATGGTTGAATTTCTGTAATTGCTGTAACATGTGAGATAAAAATCTGAGGTTAGTATCCTTTTTTGGGTAAAGGACTAATATTGCTCTCCTCTGTTGATAAATACAGCTGAAATACGTAAGTCAATAATTCATGCACACCTTTCAGAGATGGTCTGTGGAGACCATTTCACCAGTGAATTGTTATTATCGATTAGGACCAGAAACTCAAAAGGACAACATGATAATTATATCTGTCATTAAAGACTCATTAATATTCTCCTTTATTCTAGACAGCTTGAAACAATCAATGTAAAATGTACAAGCAATATTGCTTTTTTCTGTGGCTCTCATTTAGAGACTGCCTGTGTACTTTGAATAGGTCCAATAATGAAGCCTGACAGGGTAAATATTTCACTGTACTTCAACATTTATTCTTCTAAGGGGATAACTTTACCTTTTTCATCCTCCCCTGAAATGATTCACATTCTTCACAAATCCAAGTTTAAATATTTCAATTTAGAAGAGGCTTTACTGTCCAAACTAAAGTCTATTTAGTCTGTTATAGTTCCACTGATTTTCTAATTACTCCATTTGAAATGTCACTGTGTTTCAATATCAAACCAAAATAGTGAATATTTACATTTTTATATGAAGATGGGTTTGCACATGTTTCATTTCAGGCAGAGGAAAGTTCATTTGCAAACTCTGCAGGAACTGTCTGAAGTGCAGAAAATGACTCCACGGGAACGAATGCGGCTGAGAAAGTTAAATGCTGCAGATGAGAAAGCAAAGAAGTTGAAGTAAGCTGTGCCCAAACCATGCAATTTTCTCCATCCAACACTCTAACGAGAGAGTTAGAATTGTCAAGGTAGAAATAAAAATAGAAAGGGTCTTCAGCTACTCAAAGTGAATGGGGATTTTGGATGACAGTAAATCACAGTAATTATTTATGTAGGAAAGAAGTTGGAATATTAGCCCAAAACTGGTACTTTGAGCACTGTGTTTCTGGTTAAATAAGTATATGAGAGATTTTCAGATGTGTTACAATACGAGACCTTTTTTTACTGACTTGTTATTTTAAGAATTAAATGGTTTTAGGAGCTGGACATTTAGTTACAATCCAGCTTTTGTCAGTTGTTTTGGCCTCAGAGGTTTTCCGATACAAGTTAATAGCTCAGAGAATAGTCTTATCAAAGGATCAAACAAGGGTAATAGTTGTGTTATAAAGGCTTTATGATTTCTGGTTTTTTGTTAAGTGAGTGAGACATAATAAGTGGGTTTGGAGGACATTATGTACTGATTCTGATGGAGTACGAGAAACAGCTGGAAGGCTATATGTCTATGCATGTTGGTTAGTTTTTGTGTTTTTTTTTTAAACCAGAATATACTGTTTTGATGACACATTTGATATTTTCCCAGTTAAAAATATTCAAATATACAATTTGGCGGGAATGAAAATTGGAAGAGCACCACAGTAATTTGTAAATAATTTTTAATGTTTTCTTCTAAAGCATTTTTCAAAGTGCAATGTAAATAAACAAATATTTTTTCAGTATTTATAGAGGCTAATAGAGGGAATAATTATTTTTGATCACTAGAATTGGCATCTTAACCCTATTGTGCCAAAGCATGTCAGCAATTCAGTAAGATAAGGATGTCCTCATACAGAAAAATATTGTGTACTGACATGAAGTTGGAATTTATGGCCTCAGAAACTCTGCAGCTACATATACCTGCAAATAATAATAGTTGCAGTTGAACAACTGTGTTCTGTAAAATCACATCCTAACAATACTTGAGCCACTTTGTGACCCCCATGCCCAAAACCTAGAAACTAAGAACTAAAGGCTTTCATGTCCTTTTGGAAAATATTGTCTGAAGACCATTTGTGTTTGACTGAAACCATTGCATTTGGTACATACATTTATTCTCATTTTAGAAAGAAAACTCCTTGAATTGAAGCCATTGTATAAAAAGTATTAAATTTAACACCTCTTCTGTCTGGTGTTTTCAGTAATATAGTAGGCCAATTCTTGTACCAATATGAAATTTATAAATAGGATGTCACTCTCACTTGTTTAAAGTGAATGGAGATTAGGAAGTAATACTAATTGCAGGATAGATCTAGTTTGCTTTTCATTTTCTTTGCTTTGCTTTTCTTTTTCTTTGCTTTCTTCCATTTTGGTGTATTCTATCGAGATTTTCATTGGGATTTTTTTCCTCCCAACAACAAAATTAAATGTATTTGTTTTGTAATATAAAGGCAACATTAATATTCAAACCTTGTCAGTCATTAATCATTAAAATGGGTCTACATGGAGCTCTAGATTATTCTCAGCTACTCTGGCTGAAAATATTTGAAACAACACAAAAATTATACCTTCTCAGACTGGAGATCTGCTTTGAGCAGTACAAATCTAGAGATGGATGGGAAGGGAATATAGTTACAGGAACTGGAAAAACTGGGAAAACTCAGTGCTTAATGTAGCTTTTAGTGCTTAATGTAGCATATGCCTTCAGTTGTTCCTATGCAGGAAACCACAATTACCAACTCCCCCATATGAAGCATTCAAAGCACACACAATGTTGCATGCCTGTCTACAGCTGAAAGGTCCCTGCACTACACAGTGGAATAAAGCCCAAAGTATTTAAGACCTTTGGAAGAAATAAAAAAGACTGGAACTAGTAATTTACTAATTCTTAATTGTATTATGCAAGTTGCAAAAGTAAAATATAAGAGTGTTTGGAAATAAGATATGAAATCTCTTCGAGTTAATGAAAGCCAGCCTTATCTTTAGTACACGCCATGAATGTTTACCTACATGGGAATTTCATTGTGGAATCTGCTTTTAGAAGATCCCTTTGTGCACACCCTGCTATCACATCCTAAACACAAGCATTCTGTATTTACAGACAGCTGGCAGAAGAAAAATATCAAGAAAATGTCAAAAGAATGCAAGATTTCAGGTCCCGTAATTTTCAGCAGCTGAATGTCAACATCCTACGTGTAAGTATGGGCCATTGGTTTGGAGGCCTCGTTTATGTGCATCCAGTGTACAACACTTTTCTGTTTCCCACATGCTTTTATTAGCACTAGAGGCACAGTCCTGTTCTGATCAAAGTATGGACTGCTTCGTTGAACCTGTGGGAAAGTGCATTCAATTATTCATATATGGTTCAACAGGCTCTCTATTCATCGCAAAAATTTCTTACATCACCCTTAAAGCTAAATCTGCTCTCTGAAATTTTCCTACTGGTTATGTGGCATCAAAGTTCAAAATACATTCATTTTCAAGATGTTTAGAATTGTAATCCTTTTAACACTAATTTGGCAAGGCTGGGCGTTCTTTTCATTTGGTTGAGAATATTAACACTTCAACTGGTTTTTTAGTAAAAATGAATCTTGGAATGACTCCCAGTGTAAATTGTTGTCTTTGCTTTTAAACTATCTGCAACAGAAGATGGGCTTGTTCAATTCTAGCACCACACCTTATTGTAGAGAGAACAGTGTCCATTTGGAGACAGTCAATGAAAGCATCACAGAAATAATGAGGTTTTAAGTGCTTTGTCTTCTACCTTTTCTTTTGCATACATTCTGGTTTCTATTTCCCATTGTGTATGGAGAAAAAAATATGTAAAATTTGTCCCTGCTTATGGCTGAAACATTAGCATTTTATTTTAGTATTTGCCCAATAGAAGCCCCAGCAATTGCGTAGATCAGGGCAACCTTTGTACTGAGATCCCGCTGAAAGCTCTAACTGGACCTGTTTCTCCATGTGGCTTCATCACTGGACTAAGGAATCCGATGAGCAGACTTCAAAACACCTCATTCATTCTCAGCCAGTCATTACATGTGACTATGTGTCCGTAGGACATGATGAACCACGAAGAAATGAGACAAGTGAACTCTACGTGTCTGAAGTTACAGACCACGGTAAGAATTCAAAATTTAATGTTGAAATGAAAATTCCTGTCAAGAAAGCAACATTTGTCCCTTGTAGCTAAAGTGTGGTGGGGAAACTGCAGTTTAGAAAGTGGTCAGATTTGTAAAGTTGCCAAAAAAATTACAAAAAGAAAAGGAAAATAATCTAGGTGGATGTGTGTACAGCAGATGTACAGCAAGGTTACATGGCAGGAGATCTGTGTTCCCAAAATTTGAATGACCCATGAGCAGAAACGGACATGACTGTACTTCCTCCAAAATGATGTGCTGAATTATAAGGAAATAGTTTAAACTTTACACAGATGAAATGACTGGTGTTGGAAAAACTTTTCCTAAATTATCTCTCCAGTGCAAAAATGAATACAAGAATTCAGAGTGTTTGCACCTTTGGTACATTTTGATGCCATTTTCTCTGTCTTTAACAATGAGAGAAGATGGAAACGCTTTAAACTCTTCTTATCTATACTGTCCTCAAATACTTAGCTACTGTCTAAAGAATATGAAGTACTGGATAACATGTATTTGTCTGTAATAGACAAAAAAATAGTCAAGATTTTCAAAAAGGGTCAGACTGTGGAAATGCTGTGCTTAATGGGTATTTTTATGATCACATTTATCTGTTTTGTTTCTACAATGTTCTGGAATATCATCTTAGTCTTAGATATTAAAAAATCATTGTGTAAGCACTATCATGGTGAAAGATTTTTAATTGGATTAAAATCTCGCAAGATGCATTAAATACTTTTAAATATGAACTATTTAAAAATTAAAAAATATAAAAAAATTTTAAATATGAAAACCACTTTAATAGCATTTGTGAAGGTACATGTTGTTAAATTAAAGGCATCAGAATCAGATTGTTTGTGGTAGAGGTGTTTGGGGTGGTTTTTTTTAAGAGCAAATGGCTTTTTTCTTTCAATGTACCCTCATTTATGTCTGTGTAGTTGCCTTGCTGTTTCACAGTATGAGGAGAGATGACCTGTGTAGGAGAGAACCCAGCTGCTACAAATGCATCCTGGGGGGGAGGGTGGGGAAACGTGCAAACAGAGGAGCGAGAGAAAGCAGTAAACGTGGGTGGGAGATGCATGCAAAGATACCTAAATAGAAACAGAACAACATGCATGAAAGGAGAGAAACTGATGTTTCTGCCTTTAGAGGTCATTAAGCTGTTAAAGTATAATGACAGAAATGAGATGCAATTGTATCTGTGATGCAAAACTTGGGTCAATCCATTGTACAGAGCTAAATGCATGCTTGATTGCTTTTTCCAGAGTCTCTGATGTGGAAGTGGTGGGTTCTGACAGAAAGGTTTTGTGGAGAGGTATCAGAAATTATATGGTTTTTCTTCTTTGCTTTGTGAATACCTTGTTACTCCTGAAGCTGATGTCGAAGTTCTTACTTACTCTATTCAGTATTCATACTCTTCTTTTCTTTAAACATTTCAGTGCAACCATGCATGTCCTACATACATAATTATTAAGTTATTAATTGCATCTTTGTATTTGAAAATGTAGAAACTGTTCCAGCTGTTGATTTTCCAATAGAATTTTTTTGTTCTTGAGCAATGGTTATACAATAATAAAACAAGAAAACTAGAAGGAAGGCTGTAAAATGCTTTTAGAAAGTTGTCTTACATGTTAATAAACCTTGCTAAGCCATACTAGGTTAGCAGAAGTAGACTATGAAAACCAGAATAAGAAACTTCCTCAGTATAACTAATAACTAAAAGCTGTTCAGGAAGGAGAGAAAAGGCAGGAACAGCTTATAAATTATTTCAGGGCTGACTTGAAAAAATCCTCTCAGGAATGGGAGAAGCTGGGCATAACAGTTAGGGATAGAACCCCAATCCCAACAGGTATGGAGGAAAGATCAAACTATCTTTGATTCATAATCTGCAGTCCTTAAAAAGCAACATGAGCAAAAGAGATCAGGGCTTGGAGTATTGAAAGACCAGGTTCTTGAAGAATTAGGGAAGAGCATTTCATTTTCACTGAAAATTATCTCTAAGATTATGGATCACAGTTGTATGTCATTGTGGAAGGTGTCAAATACAAAGCTCAAAGTTTAGCTTTAGTAAGTAGTTTTAAAAACTGTGGCATCTTGATCCAGTTTTAGCAGTGGTAGTTACACATAACTGAAAGTTCAGAAAAACAAGGTAGTGTAGTTAGATAAACAAAAATCACTATGACAGTTTGGGGTTTTGGATTTCCCAGTGGACAAGTTTCAGCAATGTCAAAAGCATTCAACTGCTGTAAACTTCCCTGGGAAGATTAAGCTTCTTTCTGTGTTTGCTTTATGTAATCAGCAATGATATTCTTAACATTTTTTATTCTAACTAGTATCCCTGTGCGCTTGAGAGACCATTTAAAGGAGTTCTTCGAAGTCACCAATAGCTGACCAATTTGTTAGTCTTCAAGCATGGTTGTTTTCTGGAACATGAAAGATGTGAGTGGACCCTGTGCTTTTGATGTTGAGTTGAGCGCAGTCTATTACAGAAAAGCTTCATCAAGATTTTTAATGGTGCAATTTCTTGAGAAACCTAAAGAAACTATCTGATTCTTATGGAGAAATGATTCAGGGAATGTAAATACTGTTTTTTAACAGCAGAAGTGTTAGTTTTTCAACACTATGTTCCTTGCTATGGCATCCAGCAATCCAATGCAGATTTATTCTTCCCTCAAAGAAGGCTGGAAGGGCTGTTCAGTCCTGTGGGACTGATTGAGAGCACAGTTTTTAAATGTGGTTGTTCAGATATCACTTGCAAAACCACACCAGCTTACGATGGCTTCTATACTTTGGGTGGTTGTTGCCTTTCTGTCTGTTCACTTCTGAGATTTCAGGCATGTGTTCTGCAGCATCCTTCATGCCTCAGCAGAAAATAAAGAACTTCGGGAGAGGGAGGAGTTCAAAGAAACATGAAGTTTTGCAGACAGAAATAATTTTGAAATTCTTCTGTGCTTGTGTTACTTCAACTTAAGAAGAATGGGTTCCAGTTCTAACCTGGGAGTGGGCAGCAGTGAAAAATTATGTGAATAGCAAGTCATGCTATTTCTGTTTTAATAAGCCAAGAGATGAAGCTGTGCATTAAATATACATATTTCAGAGATATTATCTTGGCTTCTGTTGGTGCTCTGCTAGACAGGAAATGCTGTCCCTCAATCCCACGACTTTCTAACCGTTCGCTTCTGTTCCATGGAGAAGAATACAAGCTTCAGTTTGACCACCAGGTCCAGACTGTGACTGCTATAGGAATCCACTTATACTGTTCCATTCTTAAAGGGAATTGTTTTATGCACTTTGGAAAGTTCTCCATGCTTCTCTGTGTAGAAAGCTGTTCCTGGCCTAAACTACTGTGGTGTTTATGAACCTCCTTATTTCTGGCTTAGACTTACTTCTGGCTATTTCATGCCAACATTTTTAAGAGGCATTGCCTTATTTCCTTACAGCTTAAGTACTTCTTTCCTTTACTTATTCTCCTCATGTTTTTATAGGCATCACTAATATATTGCTGTGTATAAACCTCTATATAACACTTTAGTATTTTTCATACGTTTTAACACTGATCACTTTAAGCTGCCTGGATCTTTGTTCCTTACTCATTCCTTAAAATGATTTCTAGCTCTTACCTCCAAATTAACAGTAGACTATTTTGGTCTAATTGGAAACAAAATTTAAAAGAAATTGTATTTTGATAATGAGATATTTATGGAAAAATATTTTATAGTCGTGTTTAATATTCATTGAAAAATGTAGATTTCTCCATCTTATGTGTCCAGGAATTTATGTAATTGTCATCATACAGATAATTTAACACTAGTATGGACAGAGCAGTTAAGAATATATTGACCTACAGGGAATAATTTTAGTTTACTGTAGGTATCTTTGTGTCTCTTCCACCTCCAATTTCACCAAGTACAAGCAAGAGACAAAAGAGCTGAAAGAAGATTTGTATTGAGATTGTTCACAGAAACACTGAGCCACTGTCAGTGTTAACTGCAAATATTTGTGTGTTGAAACTATACGTATCTGTATCTCTACATTTCATTTGTTTTTAGGGAGCAGTAAAATGGAATAGCTAACAATTCCCTTTGTATTTTAATTTGGATTTTTTGTTTTCTGCTTCATTTCTCCAGCTCATTTTATTCAACAATTATTTCTGATTGTTAAAAAGACATATTTTGCAAGTCATGGCAATGACACAGAAATGGGCAATGCAAAATGTGTCAGGATAAACTTGTACCTATATTTCCCTGTTCTTGCTGATACTTACCTAGAAAATAGTTCATCCTCTCATTATAATAAAAAAGAAAAGCCACTTTGCAATGAATTGCTTAACATCACCTACCCCCCATCTCTTGACCCATTTTTATAGAAACTGTCTTTGAACAACGATAGATATGCCAATTTACATTTTTCTGAAGATTAATGCATTTTCGGTGCATGTACCTATCTTTCAATAGTGGTTTTGTGAAAATACTGGTGAGGCAAATTATACTGTAGTGCTGGCAACCAGAGGTCAGTTAGTCTAAGAGAAGAAAAAAACCTGTGAAAGAGAAGTCTGCATATTTAACTGCTCATTTCCATGAATGACAGTGAGTGCAGCTGAAACAGAATAATTTATTTTCTAAAACATGAGCAAAAAATTATCAACAAAATAATAAAAGTGTCAATGAGCTATAGCCAGCCTTGATGTTATGGATGAATATGATCAGTGTTTTCCTATGCCAGCTAGAACAAGGCAGTTCCATCTGGGCGGGTTCATTAGATGTTTAATGCCTAATGATGTGGCCTCCTCCTAAAAAGCTATTGGCACCATCATGAAAGTAATGTATTACTTCCTAATATAGCAATATAGTTCATCTTCATCTACTAATTTACTTTATTGAGCTTATAGTCTTTTCTGATTATAAAAGAGTAACCGGAAGAGCTGAGACCCATTTCTCTAGAGAAATGGATATTGAGAGTTTACGATGCTGAAGGTCATCTTTTCC